GTTAAAGAAATTTGCCAGCCATATATTCTGTGGGCACCATTTGAAATTTAACCTGAGTGAACACATGTCAAAAGTGAAAAGAAGTTAATCCTTGCAGGCAAACTGCCCTTTGGGGGTAACATTTAATTTTAACGTGTCAATCTAAGGAATTATAGTTCTTCATATATTCAAAGTTCATTTGGGGATCTTCGGCAAAAACTACACAGTGGATCTTTATCACCAGAGATGTCCCGAAACGGACATTATTCAGGAGATGTGGAATAATTCGACATCAGATGGTTACAAAATTGTGTTCCAACCTTCGCTGTTCTGCAGGTCTGCAGGGATTAAGACTAATTAATTGAAGATACGTCTGTCAGTAACTGACTGGCCGTTACGGCTGTATTGGCAACCTCCAGGTTCAAAATCCGCATGCTGGGAAACAATAAAGGGAGAAAGCCATTGCCTTAATGTCCTTGCAGGTTTCCCAAAGACACCCTATCGGCCATTGTGGGAAACAGGATGTGGAACTAGGCTGACCTTTGCTCTGAGCCTGCCAAGCTCTTTTTATTTATTCATTTAAAAATATTTCGCTCCTATCTCATACAGTTCAAGGTGCCTAATAACAAGAATAGTAATAATAATAATTTTAAAAACCCAATAAAAGCGTCAGGAGAACCAGCAGAAATAACAAGCCATCCAGTAAAAGCAACAGAGAAAAATAAGACGGTGAGAAAAGAGTCATAGGAATCCATGGGAGCAAATCATCCTCCGAGGGGATTATGAGCTCAATACGGCAAGGCTGTGTCAAGCCTTTAAAGACCAAAAGCCTTCCTGGAAAGGAAGGGTTTAATGCTGTGGCGGCTGGCTAACCATGAGGAGGCAAAGCAATGCTCTCCGGCAGGGAATCCCAGAATTTGGAAGTGAGATCCGTAGCCTGGCAAAAGATAAAGGCTTATCTGCTTCTCAAGAGCAACTTTACTGGTGGGAGCCTCCGGGAAAACGTGTTGCTCCTGTTTGCGTGTTTAGACCTTTAAACCTCCCCCTTAAATAAAGTCAGACAAGACTCAAATTTTGTTTTGGTTTTTGGCAGAATTTAGGCCACAACTTTATTGATTACAGAAAGTGACTGGTTGCATAGGCTCTGGTTCGACTAGCTCCCTGCCATGCAGGTAGCGCTGACCCAGGGCACCAGCATAGGTCAGCCTAGGGTGAACACTGGATAAGCGGAAAGCTGGGAACAGTCTAACTCCGCCACCCAAATGTCCCCCTGGACTCGGGCACGGGCACAACCCCCTCTCAGGGGTTGACCAGTCCCTGGATTTCTTTAACGGAATACCCTTCGCAAAGGGATGGCGAGAGCGTTCTCCCATCCCTGTCACCTGAACCAGAGCCTATACGCAACCTTACAAGTTGTGACAATTTGCTACGCGGCAGGCGAAACTCAAATGGCAACAGCCAATCAGCCAAGTGGGGAAAATTCCTGCTGTGCCCCTGTCCCAATGACAGACGACAAACGACGGCATAGCAAGGTTAAGCGCGCAAGCCCTAAATATAGGGAGAGAGAGTGTTCCAAATGCACGCACCGAAAGAGGAAGCTCTGGGTCACATGCATAGGTGTATATATAGGTCCCTTGATCCATTTAGCCTGCGTCCCATTGGCCTGATTGAACCCTTCATCAAGGGACCTACCAATCGGGTGTTGTGGCTATCCAAACGTACCCACCCACAACACAGGGTTAGGTTGCCAGGTCTCACCGCAACATGTCTCCTCTTTAAGGGAGGACCCGATTTACCATGAAGGTGAGGGGCAACGTTGTCAGAGTTGCTGAACTGCAGCTAGGAATCACGTGCAACACCGACGCTTTTCTTGAAATTAAAACAGTGTCCAAACACTTCTTAAAATATCCAACAGCTCATGGGGGAAATTGTGGAGGGAAGACTTATCATTTTCAGTGTGCTGAAGGGAAATTATTTGAAAATGATGTATCGTTGGTTTTTTAACTCCTTATTAAATTAGCAAGCATGTATAGAACTGCTACAAATATTTGTTGGAAGTGTAAAGAGAAAGAAGGCACCTTCTACCATATGTGGTGGACATGTAAGATAACAAAAGTATACAGTGGTACCTCGGGTTAAGTACTTAATTCATTCCGGAGGTCCGTTCTTAACCTGAAACTGTTCTTAACCTGAGGTACCACTTTAGCTAATGGGGCCTCCCGCTGCCGCCGCACGATTTCTGTTCTCATCCTGAAGCAAAGTTCTTAACCCGAGGTACTATTTCTGGGTTAGTGGAGTCTGTAACCTGAAGCGTCTGTAACCTGAGGTACCATTGTATTGGAAAATGATTTATAACGAGTTGAAAAAAAATGTTTAAAATAATGTTTGTGGAAAAAGCAGAAGCTTTTTTTATTAGGAATTTTAGGGGCAGAAATACCAAAGGAGCAGAAAATATTATTTATGTATGCGACAACAGCAGTGCTAATATTACTGACCCAGAGATGGAAGCAAGATAAAGCTCCGACCAGAGAAGAATGGTTGACAAAGATGATGGACTATGCTGAAATGGTGACATTAACTGGGCAGATTAGGAACCAAGAGGACAATAAATTCAACAAAGAGTGGGGCAAATTTATAAACTATGTTGGAGAACACCGTAAACAATTAAAAACATTGGCAGGATTTTAACAACACTTGTGATGTAACAAGAACTATGGTATAAACTGACTATTGAAGAGAAATAGAGAACTGGGAAAAGATTAATAATGGAACCCATGGAAGGGTGGAAGGAAATCTAAGGATTCAGAGAATCCTGTATTTTTATGATTTTGATGGATGTTTGAATGTAAATGTTAAATGCAAAAGAATAAAATAAAATAAAAATATTCAAAAGCTTTTACTTGCAGATCATGTAGCTAAAGGTAAAGGTAAAGGGACCCCTGACCATTAGGTCCAGTCATGGCTGACTCTGGGGTTGTGGCGCTCATCTCGCTTTATTGGCCGAGGGAGCCGGCATACAGCTTCCGGGTCATGTGGCCAGCATGACTAAGCCGCTTCTGGTGAGCCAGAGCAGCGCACGGAAACACCATTTACCTTCCCACCGGAGCGGTACCTATTTGTCTACTAGCACTTTGACGTGCTTTCGAACTGCTAGGTTGGCAGGAGCAGGGACCGAGCAACGGGAGCTCACCCCGTCACAGGGATTCAAACCGCCGACCTTCTGATCGGCAAGTCCTAGGCTCTGTGGTTTAACACACAGCGCCACCTGTCCTAAAGAAAGCCACCTGTAGCTAAAGAAGAATATATGCACACAGTATTCACATTCACAAGCTTATCCAAGGCTTAGATTTTCTTAATTGAAGGTTACAGCTTCTTCCTTCAACATTCAAACAGTGTCTTTGACTCAGCCTTCTGCACATGACTCAGCCACGCCATGCGGCTTCTTCTGATAGGTTTCTACTTTCTCCTTCCAGCAGAACTTTTCCTCGCTGCTTCTTTGGGAGAACAACAGCTTCTGTACTTCTTTCTGTCGTGTCCATTCACACAGAAACATTAGCTCTCCTCTCCTGTCTTGCGTCTAGAGAGAGAGACTTATCAAGTAAGCAATACGTTTAAAGAGGATTGGGAAATGTTTATTGAATACATGGCAGGAAATTGTGTACACTTGAAAACGTTGGCAGCATTAAGATAAATTCAGCAGTGCAAATAAGTTTTGATGGATGCAATAATGGGATACCGAATGGTTTAGTTTATATAAAATATGCAGGGATTTATGTTATGCAAAATAAACCAGGGAAAGAGAAGAAGAGAAGTTTTTGATATTTTAAGGTTGTTTAAATGAATATTCTAAATGGTAAAACAGAAAATTTAATTAAAAAGTATATGTCTAGAAAGAGACTTATCTAACACTGCCTCTTCTTTGGTGTTCATGGAGATGCAGCCATTATGGTCAAGTCCCTCACGCACAAAACAAAATTGAGAATACAACGAGATGCCTCCCATGTGACCAAAGTTGACCAATCACAGGAGAGCTACTGGGGAACATTCCAGAATCAAACGCACGGTAACGCATTTAAGCATTCCCAACTCCAGTAAATTAAATCACTATAAATGGCAAAGTCGAGGTCGTGCACGTACGCCATTGGCGTCACCGGATTGGCTCTGCTGGCTTACTCGGGATCGATTGCTCCTCCAGACGGCAACCAATCGCGGCTTTCGAACGGATGTGCAGGCTTTCTGCAGGGCTGGCCCTTCCGTGAGGCAGAGTGAGGCAGTCGCCTGAGGCGGTGGAATCCAAGGAGAAGCAGTTGCAGCAGCTTCTGGGTTTCAACAAGATCTCCCAAGACCTCAACCTAGAATCTGGAGTCATGCAAACCCAGAAAGTGAGGCTTTGGTGGGAGTGGCAAGGAACACATGTGGGTCAGCACCTTCTGGTTTCTCCTCAAGCAGTGAATCAGGACCGTTTGCCGCGCCTCTGTGGGTTATCTTAATTTAGGAGCAGGCTGGTCTTAAAGCATCCTGGTCCAAAGTGAACAGGGCTTTAAAGGACGTAACCATCATTTTGAACTGGGCCCAGAGAAACCATTAGGCAACCAGTGAAGTTGTTCCAGAGGGGGTGTGCGTAGGGGGGTGAGGATATGTTCCTTATAACTGGTTTCAGTCAGCGACTTGGCCGCCACATTTTAAACAAGTTGACGTTTCTGGGCACTTTTCAAAGGCAGCCGTCTGATACAGAGTTCATCGTAGAGTTGTGGTCCTCTCATGATGTAAGTCAGATGCTTGATGTTCTTATCGGATGGTAAATAGATGGAGCACAGAACTGAGGTCAGGATGGGCCTCAGTTAGCAAGCTGGAATATGGCCTCCATAAAGTACACAAATATTTGTCTTTCTTTTTTTATTACTTGGATTTTTCCTCGGATTTTTATTCTTATCCTCGGATTTTTATTCTTCTTATCTTTCAGAGTATTCAGTTCAAGCCACATCACAGTGTCTGAGAATTATTTTGAGGGTCTTGAGGGAGCTGGAGTAGCTCAGTTGGTTGAGCGTGAGGCCCTTAACCTCAGCGTCATGGGTTCGAGCCCCATGTTGGGCAAAATATTCCTGCATTGCAGGGGGTTGGACTTGATGACCTTTGTGGTTTCTTCCATTGTTTTTTTTCTGGGGGGACAGGAATAACCCTAAAAATGTTGTGAATCTTTGTACTTTTGTCCATTTACTGTATTTATTTCCCCTGATTTGAACTATAAAATGGTGGTTTTCCTTGGGCTCCATGATCGCTGCAGATGGTGACAGCAGCCACGAAATTAAAAGATGCCTGCTTCTTGGGAGAAAAGCAACGACAAACCTAGACAGCATCTTAAAAAGCAGAGACATCACCTTGCCAACAAAGGTCCGTATAATTAAAGCTATGGTTTTCCAAGTAGTGATGTATGGAAGTGAGAGCTGGACCATAAAGAAGGCTGATCGCCGAAGAATTGATGCTTTTGAATTCTGGTGCTGGAGGAGACTCTTGAGAGTCCCATGGACTGCAAGAAGAACAAACCTCTCCATTCTTAAGGAAATCAGCCCTGAGTGCTCACTGGAAGGACAGATCCTGAAGCTGAGACTCCAAGACTTTGGCCATCTCATGATGGAAAAGACTCCCTGGAAAAGACCCTGATGTTGGGAAAGATGGAGGGCACAAGGAGAAGGGGACGACAGAGGACGAGATGGTTGGACAGTGTTCTCGAAGCTACCAGCATGAGTTTGACCAAACTGCGGGAGGCAGTGGAAGACAGGAGTGCCTGGCGTGCTCTGGTCCATGGGGTCGCGAAGAGTCGGACGCGACTAAACAACAACAACAAACTTTTTTTTAAGGAAAACAGCACTGGTCTCTTCCAACTCTACAATTCTACGATTCTATGACTTGGGAACACCATATGCTATAAACCATCATTCTCAGTAGAGCTGTGCACAAATGTCCTCTCAACTTTCTCCATCCTATTTGAGGGGAAAGAAAATTGGGGGGTCATTTCACTGAATTCTTCTGGGAGGGAGGGGGAATATTATTCAGTAGTTTCCTGGGAGGAGGGCTGACCATTATAGCAGTGTTGCACAGCACATCTTCTTTTTCTTTTCTTTGTTTTGCTGCCTCTTACAAGTAGCAACAGCAACAGAAACCATGTTGGCAACAGCTAGGTCGCCATTTTGTATCCTCCACAATGCGCTGGTCCTCACATTGTTCCACGTCATTGTTGGTGTGGTGGTGGAATGGCTTCTGTCGCAAAAAAAATATGGTGGTAAACATTCAAAGAAAATTCTGTAAACTGACTTTATTTTGAGGGGATGGGGTGAAAAAAAGAAAACCCCCCAGAGATTGTCTAAAAAAAAAAAAGCCTTCTGAGAAATTTCCTCAGCTTCCATTCCGACAGATTTAACTATGAAAATAATTCTTGCCTTCTGTCAGGCGAGACTGACCTTTCAAAACGCAATGCATGGTGAGTTTAAATCAATGTACACTATTATATCAACGTTGCTCACCACCATATGTATTAATCCCAAGACGATTTAATGAACATTCTTCACGCAAGAACAGTGAATGTAACAGCTGGTGAGGTCTTTGAGCTGAACTGAGCGAGAAAGCAGTGAAGAAAAATATAAACACTTTAAGATGAAGCTTCCTTCCTGGCAGGCAACGTGGAACTATGATAAAAGTTATATGCATGTGTGGTGGGGACAGATTAACTTTAAAATATGGGCTGACGAACATTAACAGAATTTGAGTGTGTGTGTGGGAGACTAATCAACATAATGTTGGCAAATGATTGTCAGCTGCCAACTTATGCAACTGTCTTCAGCCTCGAAGGGGGAGTTGTATGAACTAAGCCATCTCCACGAGATCCATTAATGAGCCCTTTCATATTTGAGGTCTGAAATTGCTTGAGGTCAAAGTGTTGGCATGGTGGAAATATTTGATCCTTGCTCAAGAGGAAGAAGCTTCTGGAACAAATGTCCGAGAAGGGCGAAGATGCGGTCCTGGAGATCTGGAATGCTTCCTTTAGCCTGCATTCAAACCCCATATTCCATGGAGAGACAAAAGGAGACAAGAGGAAAGGCAACTTCAGGCTCAACATTTCAAAATCTATCTGAAAAGAATATGAATGTAATATGAATAGACCAGTCTGGCATGGGGTTTCACTACTAGCGGCCTCTGAGGAACCACAGAGGGCACATGCAATAAATTGTGGCGCCGTGACCCACAGCTTCTGAAAAACTGTGATCTGATCCACTTTGGTAACACTGAGTTTTTGCATCTCCATTACTTTGTTGAGATCTGGTGCGTCACGCAGCTAGAAACACAGAATGAGATGGGTGGATGCTCCTGTCTCCCGTGTATCTGATTCATGAAACTGGATAAGAAGGCTACTAAATAATAATAATAATAATAATAATAATAATAATAATAATAATTTATTTATACCCCGCCCATCTGGCTGAGCCTCCCCAGCCACTCTGGGCGGCTTCCAATCAAGTGTTAAAAACAATACAGCATTAAATATTAAAAACATCCCTAAACAGGACTGCCTTCAGATATCTTTTAAAGAGAAGATAGCTGCTTATTTCCTTCACATCTGAAGGGAGGGCGTTCCACAGGGCGGGCGCCACTACCGAGAAGGCCCTCTGCCTGGTTCCCTGTAAACTCACTTCTCACAATGAGGGAACCGCCAGAAGGCCCTTGGTGCTGGACCTCAGTGTCCGGGTTGAACGATGTGAGTGGAGACGCTCCTTCAGGTATATTGGACCGAGGTCGTCAAATCAATCCATTTTAAGAACACCTCATTTACAAATCAGCAAGGGCTCTATGTGACCCTTTGTAATGTTCAAAGCTGACCTGAAAGTGCCTCTGAAAGATATTCGCTCGTCAGCAACCCAAATTCCTACTGCCAAGCACAATGCAATACATTCACTGTACTATGGAGAACGTGTGTCACTGCAGTTTGAAGAGAAGTGGCATAGCGTGGGTTGCCAGTGCCCGGGGCTGCGGGGAGGTGGGATGGGAGGGAGGGAAATGGACGGAGTACGCATGTGCATTCCAATGCCTAACAGCATCCACTTCACCCAGGAGATCAAAGCCGCAGGGATAAGAAAATAAGAGTAATTCTGTTGTCTGGAGACATCACTTCCTGGTTTGCATGGAGAAGCCACTGAGATCCAGCGCCGAGGGCCTTCTGGCAGTTCCCTCCCTGCGAGAAGTGAGGTTACAGGGAACCAGACAGAGGGCCTTCTCAGTAGTGGCGCCCACCCTGTGGGATGCCCTCCCTTCAGATGTGAAGGAAATAAGCAGCTATCTTCTCTTTAAAAGACATCTGAAGGTAGCCCTGTTTAGGGAAGTTTTTAATATTTAATGCTGTATTGGTTTTTAACACTCAATTGGAAGCCACCCAGAGTGGCTGGGGAAAATCAGCCAGATGGGCGGGGTATAAATAATAAATTTATTATTATTATTATTATTATTATTATTTCAATGGAGCCCAGCAATTGAAGTGTGCAGTTGTATTGAGGCAGCACCGGGTGTTGAAATTTTGCACCCCCTAACCATTTTTGCCACTCGGGCAACCGCCCCTGTGCCCCCCAGCACGCTATGCCACTGCTGTCCAGCAGCCCACTTCTATGTCAGTCTTGGGAAGAGTTTTGTTCCTGGTTTGTCTCTCCCACTCACTAGCACTGGGGAGCAATTCACAGCAAACCATTAACCATAGCTTGCCATGACACGCAAACACACTCAGACTCCTCCAGCTGTACTTGCTTGCCCCAAGCTGAAAGTGCCACAACAAATAATCAAAATGTTCTTTGCTGTCATAACTCTACTGGTATCTGATGGGGTCATTTCATAGAAGACATTAAAGTTAAGCAGCCAGGGCTTAGTATTGTGATAGGCACCATGCCAGGAAATGCAGATTGCAACAGATGCTTTTTGGGAGTGCAAGATTATTTTGATTGCCTTTTGTTTCCCTAAAGGAGTATGAACTACTGCGTTACGTGTGGATATAGAAGACAACTCTTGGAGAAGTCAGCTGTGAGCTCTGTGGATGTGTCAGGTGAGGAATCCAGAATATCTATTTGCATCCCCAGTGGATTCTGGGACATTTTGTCTTCTACTCACCTCACGAAAAAATAAGCGTTGTATAGGACACTCCATGGAAAGATTCCCCATCTTTGTCTCAAGGTTGAGCCAAGACAAACAAAGTGAATTACTGAGCACCTCAGGCATGGCAGGAATATAATCTCTGTTGAAAAATGCTGCCTATTTAACCTCTTTGAGCTGGAAAGACATGCTCAAGTTTTCCATGATGCACCATTCAAAGAACCTTTCTGTAATGAGCACTCACACTTTACATTGTGGGTGCCCATTGCGGGATCGCTCATGGTGCTACAGTTCCCAGGGAGCTTCCTGGCAAACAGGGGCTGGCTTGCCTCTCCGTGTTAATTTTTGGAGGTTCACGCGCAGCCTCAGTAATCAAGTTTCCTGCTGGAAGGTGGGGCCAGCCCCATTTATAAATAGGGGGTGGAGCCGACAATAGCCAGGCAGTCGGCTCTGGTGATTCACACTCCCTTTGTTTAATGTTTCTTGTTTGCAGGTTAACTTTTTCTTTCTGTTTAGCGGGCGCTGCTACGGTCTTTGACTGGTTGCTGTTGAAGGACTGGGAAGAAATTTTCCTGCATTAGCAGGTTTTGTCTTCCCCGTAGCAATTTGTCACAACTTTGGCGGATGGCCTTGGGTGTAATCTTTTAGTCTTCTCTTCCCTATGGGGGGGGGGCGTGAAGTGGTGACTCACCCCCCTGCAGCGGCAGTTCCAGGGTCCCCTTCTTAAAGGGGTTATATATATGGGTCACGTTCGCAACCTGAGTGTCGACTGTACTTGACTTATACATTTTTGCTCATTTAGTAGGAGTCAGATCAAAGAGCGTTTTTGGATCCGTGCTACAAACCAACTATCTCAGTTTGATAGCAGAAACTGGGCAAATCTCTGTCTCCCACACACAGGGCTGTCTTTAGCAAATGCGGCATCGGGGTGCAAATATCCACTCGGTGCCCCCAAATTACCATGGATA